AATCGTATTCGCTTCTTTGAAAACCTAGTTTTCTTATATAACTATCGAACTATAGGTCGTGCCGGCGCAGGTACCGTCCGTTCGCAGGTCGCCTGCTATTGTAACTCCTCGGTTTGCCGTTGCGTTTGGTTTAAGACCTGTTAGTATTGCTATCGGGGTGATGTATAACGTGCCTGAATTTATTAATGTGCTTATTAATGTGCATGATTCCCTGCTTATGGCCAGCAGGTATTGTTCCCTTCCGTTCTCCACACCCGACGTGTGGGAGTGCATCCCGCAGTGGTAGATCGTCCGATCAATCTCGATCTTACATTGTAATATCCTTGCGTTGCCATATTCCGTTAGCTGTAGTAGTTGGATGTGTCTTTCTATGGTATTGGTATCTTTGGTCGCAATTTCGCATTTGAACTCGTCTATTGTTGAAAACAGCGTTACGTTTAATGTCTGGCCTCCACAGTCATACCCTACGAGGGCTCTGGCAATGTGGAAGAGTGCGTAGAAAAGTGCAGTCGTCTTAAAGTCCATCCTGTAGAGTGTTCCTGGGCCGTCTTCACTCGCTGTTCGTTGCGGCAGGGGATGAAGGTTATGTATTGGGTGATGACGTGTCTATTCCCCGGGAGGAGAGTTTCGCATTGTTGGATAATCAGTGGAAATAGGGTGTGGTAATAAGACGGTCTCTGCTCTTACAGTAATGTATTCTTATCAATAACACGTTTACAGACAGAGTAAATCGATCATCCGAAAATCGCGTGAACGACAGTCCTTGCTTCCCCTACCATAATCATACTTATTATATTCACTAAGGATAGATGGCGACGTTGCCACAAATCGCAGGTTCTCAACACGCATGCTTAATTTTGTTTTTGTGGACAACGCGGATCGTGTTCTTATATGCTAATTTTACGTTGTTGTTGGGGTATACAGAGATGATTTTGTGCGGGCCCGTGTACTGCGGCCCTAGCTTTACTTTCTGAGGCTCTTTTAAGAGGTAGGTCGCGGAGGAGAGCAGGCTTCTGGTTGAGGGAGGTCAGTCGGTGTGTCGTCCGTCGCGTCAACCGGTAGCACAGTAACGGGATTCCTTGAAAGTGCATCTGCATTTTAATTTTGTTTTCCGGGTTTATATTGTAGAGACATGGGTGGTGTTTAAATAATATAGAACTCTATTTATGAGAAATAAAATAATAATGCTATGTGCGGTGACGGTAAACACTACAGATATAGATATATATAAACTCTTACAACTACAACTAACAACACAATTACAACATAACTGTTCCAATATCACTGGTCTCAAGAATTGTTCGCTAACCATTTTTGCCTTCTTATATATATTGACCAAATGACCAAATATGGTCATGCTAAGGGCTTGACATATCGTCGGGGTTTTTCCGACCGACCTGGCCCTCGAACCCTCGGCGACCTTCCAAACTAAAGTCACCTATACCCGAAGTGGAAATTCTGCGATACTACGATATATTATTTGATACTCATACTCGGCAAGCTTTAACCGCCACCGCAGTAGTCGGGTCCTTTACCGAATTCATGCAAACCAACGGCCGGTGGTCCGTGATGAGGTTGAATCTGTGGCCGTATAAGTATGGTCGAAAATAGTGTACTATGAAAACGATGGCCAAACGTTCTTTTTCTATGGTCGAGTAGTTTAACTCGGCTCCTTGGAGGAGACGCGAAGTATATGCTATCGGTCCGTCCTTCTTTATTTCGCACTGGCTTGGTACTGGCGCCCAAGGCATACCGATAAGCGTCAATGGTTACATTAAACGGTTTGGCGAAGTCGGGGTAGGCCAGGAGGGGTTCAGAGGAGAGCGAGTCTCGTAATGTGTTAAAAACTGTTTGTTGCGTTTCCGTCCAGATGAATTTTTTTTTGTCGTTTCAGAAGGTCTGTGAATTTCTGTTTTTTTTTTCGGTTAAGGGTGCATAAGTTTGTGCTATTACGGCTGGTGACTGGAGAGTGTCTCCTTGGATGTTTGGCGTGGTTTCTATATTGTTTGTTTTTCACTACACTGTGGGCTGGTTTTCTTTTTTCTATGCACTACGTACTACGTTAGAGGTTTTCGCACTGTAGAAGTATAAGTCTCACAATTAGGCGATGGTTTAGGACACGTCCCTTATCTACGCAGGTCAAAGCGAGAATGTAGGCCCTTACCTTAGACACTGGGGATACTATTGGAAGGACGGGAAATTATATATATAGGATTTGAAGGTTTTCGGAGGACTTGCGAGAAAGTCTTCGTAGTCGGAATCCATCTAGTGGCGAGGGTGAGAATGATGGTCCCTACATAATTATTCGTACAATTTAATATAATTTTAACTTTTAATATAATTTGCGTTGTGTAATAGTTCGTTTTTCATGAATACATATGTGTGTGTGTATTTATATAGTTCGTATAATAATAATTGCACTTACATAGTTATTCGTATAATATTTAGTTCTGCATATTTCTTATTCTACTCTTCCATGCATACTGCTTGCTCCATTCCTACCGACTTTACATAGCTGACCGATTCCACTCGTTCTACATTCTGTACTTTATTCTTATGCTACGGATTACAATTCCTATTTTATTCTTATATTACGGACTACAGTTCTCGGTGTGGGCGCGTTACGTCCCTTGGACGCAATGCGTCGCGAGACGCAATAATAGTCTAATTTCCAATAGTTGCACTACACCCATGTCAGTATATTACTCAGCATATTTATTTGTTTGTTCAACTATTATTCCTGATATATAATCAATGAAGAATAACTTGAATAGAGCAACAGGATCATTGCAATCAACGTTTTCAATTAAAAATTTCTCTTCTTTTGAATATTCATTTACTATTGAACTTCTTTTTCTTATTTGCTGCCATTCCGTATCTTTATCGTATATTTCAAGATTTACTAATTGTATCGAAGTTAATAACTAATAAATTATTTGCAAAAATAGACACATTTCTTCAGCATCCTCTTCGCCTTCCTCCTTTCCAACCTGTTGGGATTATTGGGATAATAAATAATTACAATGTATATATAAGTATGTATAACGAAAAATGTATATTTCTCCGTAAGTAATTATTTGGGTGTTGACGGTACGGTGGTTGTATCACAACTGACTACTCGAATGTGTAATAACCTTTGACGGGCCATCACTTGTGTACGTCAGTGTCACGGGACAATACGAGGTTTTATATAAAAACAAAGAAATCAGAATCCAAGATGGAAGATAGACGTATTTTAATGAATCAGACTACTTTGACCAAAATAAAACAAACTCTTGAAAAGAGAAACGTATTACTCTATTTCAATTATAAGTTGTTATATTGTACCGAAGTTATACCGTAGTAGTAACAAGGGTTAGGTCAAGAGACGTAAGACAGATTTGTAGTATTACAGCCAACTGACAATCGACAACTCGTCTTTGTTTATTTCAGAGTGATGTTTATACAAGTTCAGTATGATTTGGTGGGGAATGAGTCTTGGAATCGGAAGTTATTTCGGGTGTCGGATGTTTACATGACAATATTATCTTGAGGTGTGGTGTTATCGGTAGTATTACATCAGGGTGGCGTTGTTGTTTTCCTTTCTTCCAACACAACCCACTCGCCGCACTTAACCACATATTTATGAACCTAGCAGTTTCCGTACACGGTTCGAAAAATTTACCACCACAGCTCCATGAAAGACGGAGCAATTTACTATAGCTTCTACACCCTGGCATTGCCCAATCAGCATTCCTTTAGCGAGAGTAACCGAAGACCCCCAAACCCGTTCGGCACTCCGATCGAAATCCGTACATTCTTCTTTATCTTCACCAGAGCCTTTCCTACGAACACGAGCGACACGTCCTCCCCTGCTTCGACAACCCACGACTCGCCTTCTCCATAATCTCTGTCCACGCTTGCCCAGACCACCGCTTCGGATTGAAAAGGAATTTGCTGACAATGACTCTCGATTACCTTCCCATGTACAAGGGTATCTCCATGTTTCGATATGACAGCACTCTTCTATTCAAATCCATTGCTAGATCGTGCGCCAACATAAAATCGATTCCAATTATTATTTCATTCACGATCTCAGCTACCAGAAAGGTATGCACCACGATCAGGGTTTCAATAAAAACCGAACAGGCCACCCTTCCCAAAATTATCGCTTCTGCCCCAGTTGCCGTAAGTAACCTGTAGCCAGACAACGGTTCCACGTTCTCTTTCGCCAAGTCCGGTTTTAGAATTGAGTGAGTCGCGCCCGAATCCAGAGTCAACACCAGAGATCGTCCATTGACAGTTCCGCTAACCGTCAAGTTGCTCTTTCGACCAATTTGCGAAACAGACGCAGTGGGTCAGTCAGTTGTGAGAACCAGCTCTCGCCCCTTTCAGCTGGTTCTTTTTAGTTTGGAAAGCTAGGGAGGAAACTACTGAACTTGAAAAAGAATAAAGCGGCCAAACTGAAATTTACTCAAGAACACTTTCGTTGAAAAGAACATTGAAGAATGCTCTGTTCAGCGACGAAAGCAAATTTAACCTCTTAGTATGTGTAATATATTTTAAAAAAAAAATCATAATTTATTTATCAAATACTTCATTCCAATGTACTCGCGTAGAGAACGGCATTGTCCGTCACACATTGCAGTGCTGTATCGTTTATACGTAGTTCGCGTCAAACTCTGCCGTACAGAGAAATAGCTTCGCGCAGAATTCAGCCGTGCCTAAGAGGTTAAATTACTTGAATTTGATGGAATTCAGTAGGTATGTCGACCAGCAGATGAAAGATTCAACGTGCGTTATCAAATTCCAACTGTAAAACATGGTGGATGAAGCATTACGGTTTGGGGGTGTTTCTCCGTTCACGGTGTTGGTCCATAGCAGCAAATTGAAGGCGTAACGAAGAAGGAGCAAAGTCCAGACCTAAATCCGATAGAACATCTTTGGAAACATTTAAAATTACCACTAAAATATGAAAAATTTATAAATACTTCTAAATTGTACAACACTCTTTGCCAAAAATGGCAAAACGTTACTCCTGCTATATTAAAACATTACTTCTATTTTTGAAATCTATGCCTAAAAGAATGCAGGCAGTTATTTATTCCAGAGGTTGTTCTATTAAATATTAATTTATTCTTCTATTTTCATCAATACGATTCGTTTAGTTTATAATTTTCTAAAGATTTAAGTTTTGTCCGAATACTTTCGTCAATCAAATTTTCGTTTATTCTTCAAAATATATATTTTACGTTATAATTTGCGAAATTCGTTCATGTATATTATTTATCACCCTGACCTTCATAAACTGCTCAATTCGTTTTATCTTAGTATTGTAATTTATTCATAGGAACTAAGAGAAATCATGTCCGAATGCATTTGTACGGTACTTTATATTAATTAAATAATAACTTACTTTATACTTGTATTTCTATTACTCTTATTGTTATTATATTATTTTTCTTATATTTACTTTAATGCAAATTTATTTTAATATTTTTGTTATCAAACATTCTTTATTATACTTATTATTGTAGTAATTATTATTATTATATTATTATGGTTATAGTTGTTATGATATAGTATTTGTGATTCCATAACGTGGAATTCCTTTCGTAAGAAAGTAGTAAATCAATAAATATAAAAATATTCTATTATTGCGTATCTCATAGACCAGTAGTCATTTTGACTGGTCGCGATATCAGTCTTTCGAGCGCATAGCGTGTATTGTGCGAGGCAGTTTTTAATTTGTTAGGCATGCACTTTTTGCGATATATTTTTTTCTTTTCAGATTTTTATAAGCAGCAATAACGAAAAATTTGTAAATCATTATTATTTTGTAAAATGCATGATAAATATTTATTAATAAATTATAATAATTTTTGTTTCTCTATTAAGGTTTATTATGGAATCCGGTGCACCTGCACAGAACCGTTTCAGGCTTAATTTCGGTACTATTATCGATTAAAAGATGTCCTTGTATACGTTATCAAAATAGTTCTGACATGGCAAAGAGACTTGCAGAAAAGATACGCGAAGTGTTGAATAAAGAATCGAATTCATTCAAATTTAGACAAGACTCTAGTCCACTTTTATTGATACTTGACAGAAGAGATGACCCTGTTACACCTTTACTAAATCAATGGACTTACCAAGCAATGGTTCACGAGTTACTAACTATTAATAACAATCGGGTTAATTTATCCCACGTGAAAGGTATCTCGAAAGAATTGAAGGAAGTTGTTCTCAGCGCAGAACATGATGAATTTTATGCAAATGTAAGTTTGCTATCTTTATTTATATAGAATCTCTTAATTGTTTATGTGTAAAAAGAAAAATATTTTTCGATAGAATTTATACCATAACTTCGGCGAAATTGGACAAACTATGAAAGAATTGATGGATGAATTTCAAAAGAAAGCTAAGAAACACCAAAAAGTGGAATCTATAGCTGACATGAAAAATTTTGTGGAAACTTATCCGTTGTTTAAAAAGCTGTCTGGTACTGTATCGAAACATGTGACAGTAGTTGGAGAACTTTCTTCGTTTGTGGAAAAACATCAGTTACTACAAGTATCAGAGTTGGAACAGGAACTTAGCTGTCAAAATGAACATTCCATGCAGGTATAGAAAATTAAACGAGTTATTAATTATCTTCGGCTATTATTCTTTCTTATCTATATCTGTTTAAATCCATTTCTTTGTTATCAAAGCTGCAAAAGATAAAAGGACTTATTAATAATCATCAAATACGGGAAATTGATGCTTTAAGATTGGTCATGCTTTATGCGCTTCACTATGAGAAGTATACAAACAATGACATTAACGGCTTATTGAATTTATTAAAAACCAGAGGTGTTCCGGAAAGACATATTAGGGTAAATAACAATAAGTACAGTTTTATTTGTAAGGGTGGTGTAAATTACAAAATTAATAATTTCAAACGATGTTTCAGCTTGTATATAACATACTAGAATATAGTGGAATCAATGCAAGGCAAAGTAATTTATTTGATCGAGAATCGGTAGCCAAGATTACTAAAAAGTTATTTAAAGGTTTAAGCGGAGTAGATAATATTTATACCCAACACACGCCTTTACTCAACGAGACACTTGAAGATTTAATAAAAGGAAAGTTAAGTTTACAAGCATTCCCATATCTTGGAAATGCAATGATGTCAAAAAGGTAAATTTTATATAATGCATTATTACGTGAAATTCAAAATAGGAAATGTTATATTCTTTGAAAAATGGTTATTAAATTTATTTCAATAATTGTATATTCGTTATATTTCAGGCCGCAAGATATCATTGTCTTTATGGTTGGAGGAACAACATACGAAGAAAGTTTGACAGTTTATAATTTAAATAAACAAAATCCTGGGATAAAAATTATTTTAGGTGGCACTACTATTCATAATTCTTCAAGTTTTTTGGAGGAAATTCAACAAGCTACATCAGGTATTCTATCAAAATACAAAATTAACAACAATTGAAACGCTATATGTACATATTTTGATTTTAAATATTTATTTATATAATTTGGGATTATTTCTAATTGTTACATGTAATGTTTGATAATAACTGTATTCCACTAATAACGATATTAAAAGGAAATTGTAGTAAAAAAAAATAGAAATTGCATCAATGTTAAATGAAACTTGCCTTTTCAATTTTTATTTTTCCAATTTTCTTATTCGTCGATGGTAGATATTTTGGCCGCCATATTTTAAATTTTTTGTCTTTTTCCCTTCAACTTAGAGGAAAAGGTAAAAATATAGATCAATTTTTTTTCGAGAAAGAAAAGCATATTAAAAATATGAAAATCTAATCGGTAAAAAGTAGAAATGATAATTTAAAAATATGAAACGATGCATCGATAGTTTTCCAGCGAGAAACTATTTCAATTCGAGAAAATGAAAATTTAAAAAAAAAATTATAATTTTTTAACAAAATTTAATATCTACTAAAAAGCGTCTTAAAAATGTTGACAATAGTCACAAATACAATTACTACTGTCACATCCCGTGTATAGGGAACACAAAAGTGTGATTGTAATATGGACTAACCTAGTCGATATTATCAATTCCTGTCGTTTTTTATACTAACGTAAAAATTTTAGCGTGGGAATGATATTTTTAAATAATACAAACATATTAATCCCTAAATATTTCGAAGCTCAATTTTATATTTGAGCTTTCTATAATTAACGTATTACAATTGTCAATTAAAATGAGAAAAAAATGCAACGAAACTTACCCTTAAATTAGTACAAAAAAAGAATTCTTAGAGAAGTAAGAACAAATACTTCCACTTTTTGACAAAAAAGAAAAAGAAAAAAAGAAATTACATCGCGCCATTTTTGTTTTTGACATCAGAGGAGGCTAGTTTTTGAATAAAACAATTGGCAGCATCCCCCAATATCGTTGGTGTTGTAAATTCAAAGGTTAGAAAAACGAACACAGTGCTTCACGTATTCAGTGAGACAGTAAATTTTAATTAAGAATAATGAAAATAAGGGATACAATACAATTTATACAGATACACTTTTAGTCCAATGTCTGAAAAAAGGTTTCGGCCCTTTACGTGCGTATACAGCGAAGAATGACGTGGAATTGACCGCCAAGAGTCAAGAAAGACCAAAAAGCCCGGCCCGCTACAGTATCAATTGTTCTACATCGATTTCAAAACGTCAGAGACAAAGAGACAGGGCGAAAAGACAATGTATAACGTTGTTCTTCAACAGTTGGCATTTGTTTCAACAATAAATTCGCATATTTCATGCACATTTCATCGTCGGAAAGCAAGATCATCGTTAAGATCGTATAATTTTTAATTTTTAGCGGATAACTGTTATAATATTTGTTGCGTCCCGAACACTGCACGGTGGAAGTCTTGCGGGGTTATAAGGGCCCGTTTTCGCGCATGCGACGCTGGCAATGAGGACATAAAACAGTCCTCCACTTAACCTGGGACGTGCAGTCCTAGGGCCGCAACATACCGCCCGCCTTGAACTATTTATGCTTCGATAAAATTACATGTGCTTAACATATCGACTTAATGACTAACGTTACAATAATGACTGACGTAAGCAATCAGTCGTGTAATATGTGTATATTATAAGTGACGCTTTAATCTAAGAGTGTTACGTATAAATAGATAATAGAGCAATTTTTTTGACGCAACGCTTGTACTCTCCTTGCGTCGTTTTCGCGCTAACCACGCGGATGGTGCGTGCCATCGATTCCTGAATGTGCGGCGGTTATTCTCCCGAGTGGCCACGTTATGGGCGGCGTGTTGTCTTCCTTGATCAAGACCATGGTTCCAGTGTCGAGTTCCTCTTCCTTGCCGTTGTGTCATTTTCTGTGGATCGTTTGTTCCTGCAAATATTCTTTGAACCAACGTTTCTAAAAATGATATTTCATCCCTTGAACGCGTTGTCACGATGAGAGTCTTCCGTCTGGGATTGTCGTAAAGTCGATGTCTGGAGGTTGGTCCGTCTATCGCTGATAAGAGGAAGTGACCTGATGTTAGAGCAGTCAAATCGTTGGGATCCGAGGATAGTGATGTTAAGCGCCGGGAATTTGGAACTGCTTCCATTTGGTTCACGGAGATCAGCAAGGTCTCGTATGACAGCAGTGTTTCACCGATCACACGTGTGAGGTGGTATTTCGTTGATCGAACTGCGTCTTCTCACAGTCCGCCAAAATGTGGTGATCGGGGCGGAATGAAGTGCCATGTAACCCCTTCAATTGAGAGTACCGATGCTATGACGGTGTGGTATTTTTGCGATCTTACGAACATACGAAGTTCCTTTATCATTTTATTGGCGCCAGTGAAATTGGCTGATTAGATGTCAGGGCCTCTCCTCGCCATGAATCGCCGTAGAGTTGTTAGGAATGTCTCGGTAGTCAAATCGCTTAGCAAATATGGCTAAGTAGACTTTAACTTTATTACGGTTTCGGTGGGTTTTTCCTCCTTGATGTGGATCGTCTCACGATAATCTATGCCAGAATGCAAGAAAGGTCTTGATTGTGTGTCTCGTGAGAAAAGCAGATCGCTCATTTTATAATCGATAGCGGGTGGCTTAGCGCGAAAACACCTTATACACCGATGAATAGTTTTCCGAGTAAGATTCCTCTGCCGAGTATCCAGAATCCTTGTTGCACGCCTGCGTGCAAGTTGTTAATGTGATGTTCTCGAACTACTAATCGAGTGACATGCTCATTCCGCGGCAATATCATCGGATGCTTCATATCAAGTTTTAAATTCGCTCTCGACAGTCTGCCACCGACGCGCAATATTCCTTCTTCGTCTATAAATTGGACTAACGGCGTCAACGCGGTAGCGCTTTTTCTGGCCGACACGGCGAGCCGGTATGCCCGTTGTTGGCTGCATTTTACGATGCGTTGTTTCGCCCTGCGCAATTCCGCGGACGTCAGTATCTTGCTCGGCGATTCCTTGCAAGAGCTGATGAATCGGAAGCGTAACAAATATGCTGTAATTCGTTTGATTTTGGCGAAGGAGGAAAATCTTTCAAAGAGATCAAAGTCGTTAATTGCAGCGTTTAGTGACACGAGTGGCCGTTGCTCCGGGATTTTTATTACCGGCTCTAACTGAACTCGGGGTCAATTTGCCTCTGACTCCTTTAGTCATTCGGGACCGTGAAACCAAAGTTTGTTACTCGTCAGAGTTTCCGTCTTGCAACCGCGTGATATTAGATCTGCCGGGTTATCCGCGGATCGTACGTGACGCCATTCGTGATCCTCGGTGATGCTCTGAATGTCCGTGATTCGATGCGATACAAATGTCTTTAGCTGATGCGGTGAAGTACGTATCCAATGTAACAGTATCGTGGAATCTGACCAAAATGTGGTTTTTTGGACTACTCTCCGTAGTACACTTGAAATGGTTTGGTATAATTTCGTCAGTAAATGAGCTGCACGGGGGCTAGCTTAATATTGACGCTGATAATTGCACCGATGTGTCCTGTGTCCTGTGTGCTGATTCCGCGAATGTAAATGCATGCCTCGTAAGCTTGCTCGCTAGCGTCGCAGAATCCGTGCAATTGCAATACGGTGTACTCCTTTGGAACGATCTGTCGTCCTATCTTCAAGTCCTTCAAGACTAGTAAATCGCGACAGTATGTGGCCCATTGTGTGTGTGAATGTCCGTCGGTACTGATTCGTCCCAGTCTAACTGTAGTTTCCACAGTGTTTGTAACATTATTTTTGCGCCTACTATTATCGGTCCTAGTATTCCGAGAGGGTCAAGTGTTACGATTTGCGATAGCATAGTTCGTTTTGTTATACGTTTGCCCTGTCTCGGTTCCTTAAAATCCCATCTAAGCGTATTACGCTTCACGTTCCAGAAGAGTCCCAACGTCTTCACGGTGTTGTCCAGATTAAGTCGTAAAAGTCGGTCATTCGTTTTGTCCTCCAAAGTATGCACGAGTCGCTCGTTGTTTGTTGCCCATTGACGTAGGTTGAAACCTGCTCGGTTGCAGACCTTGATTATTTGATCTCGTAGGGTCACATAAATGTCCTCGCGGATCGCGATGGCTGCTTCCGGGTACCCTTCTCCCTCGTCAGCTGCGAGTTGGTGCAACGCTCGAGTGGCTAGAAAGGGAGCGGCGGAAGTACCGTAGGTCACGGTGTTGAGTGTGTATGTTGCTATCATTGCGATCGTGAACATTCGAACGTCAAAGAATCTTTTGATACTCGCGGTCGTCAGGATGTATGTATGTATGATCGTCTCTATGTTGGCGGTCGTTACGTAGGCGTGTGACCGAAAGCGTAATAGAATAGAGAATAGGTCTTCACGAACGTTCGGTGCCACCAGCAGTGTGTCGTTTAAAGAGCTCTCGCTGGTCGTCCTCGCCGATGCGTCCAAGACCACCCGGAGCTTTGTGGTCAGGCATGATTGTTTTATTATGGCGTGGTGTGGTAAATAATATTCGTGTTTGATCGATAAATTCGTAGCTAGTGACACGTGATCGAAGACGGTATAAAATAGGGTTACCTTCTCTGAAAAATATCAGTACACTATTAACAATGATTCGCTTATATTAAATGATTGGACCTTTGAATTACAGACACTAGCCAACTTAAGGGTACCACCACATGATTCAAAAGCCTACATCTGCAAACTGAACAGACTACTAGTGTTTGTTTTGTCAATAATGGTGAGCAAGAAATTGATAAAAATCGTTAAAAAAACCTTCGTTAAAAATCACGACCGAAAACAATACCGGTAGGATACATGAAATTCTGAATAAATTAAGGTTGAGCCATATAGAAAAAGAATACGCGGAATCAATAAAACGCATCATTTATAGCTATCGCGAGATATTCTCCCTAGAAACTCAGCAATTACGCACGATTAGCGGAACACACGATTTTCACAAAACACAACCGACTGATTAACACAAAATCGTACAAGCCTCCAGAATGTCATAAAATTGAAATAAAGAAACAAAAGAAATGCTAGATAAAGAAATAATTGAAGAATCGAACTCCCCTTACAATTCACCTGTATGGGTAGTGCCGAAGAAATTAGATGCATCAGGTAAACAAAAATGGAGGATTGTAATCGATTTTAGAAAACTTAACGAAATCACAGACCAAGACTCTCACATTTAGGAAATGCGAAATTCTTTAGCGCACTAGATCTATCCTCGGGCTTTCACCAAATCCCCATGAATAAAACAGTAAGAAACTAACCGCTTTTTCAACACCCGATGGACATTTTCATTATAAACGCATGCCATTCGGTTTAAAGAATGCTCCGGCGACTTTTAAACGTACGATGGATACGGCTTTGAGAGGATTAGTCGACAAATATTGTTTCGTTTATTTAAACGATATAATAATCTTTGACAATACAATCGAGAAGCACGATAGAAATCTTGTAATAATTATTGGACATTACATTTGTATATGTGTGTTATTTAGTGTGTCTCATGTGTGTGCGCTGATGTTTGGTGTGGCACAAGCCAAAAGAGTGCTACTGCAGCAGTCGTCTGTCGCTCGCCATAGTGGAATGAGGTTGTGGACGTGGTGCTGTAGATGGAAATGTAGAGTGAGATTATATTAAGTATTAAATAAACTTTTGTATTAGCATTACAGGAAGTGTATTCAATATTTATTTCAGCCATATTAGAGTTTATTCTTTTAATAATATTTCATCGACTCAAAAGAAACAGGGATTAAAGGTACAAGCAGACAAATGTGAATTTCTCAAACCGGAATTGGAATATTTAGGACACATAGTTACGGACAAAGGAATTAAATCCAACACCAAGAAGTTAGAATCAATAAAGAACTTTCCAACACCGATCACCGTAACAAAGGTCAAATCTTTTCTCGGATTAGTCGGATACTACCGTAAATTTATTAAAAACTTCGCGAAAATAGCTAAACAGCTAACACTACTGACACAAAAGAACCAACCGTTCCATTGGACTCACGAACAACAGACGAGTTTCGAAATACTGAAAAACAGGCTATGTGAACAGCCAATACTGTGTTACCCCGATTTCAATAAAACTTTCACATTAACAACCGATGCGAGTAACAATGGATTAGAAGCAATACTTTCGCAAGACGGAAATCCCTGTCATGGATTCCGTCACGCGGGTCGGCACGGCGATGGGGCTAATAACCGTCAGCACAGATAGCATCGTCTTCCAGAACTCAGCAGGTATGGCGCACTGGCTGCACATGGCATCGTGTGCATTGGCCTTCAGTGCGTCTGTCTTCCTATCTTCGAGAGACATAACACCCAGGGAGTGGACCGGATTCGACAATAGGTACGAGTGCGTTAGATTACGGGCCGAAGTTCAAAAGATGAAAAACACCATATTCCAAGGTTTGGTGGTTCACCATCCAGTCCGGGATCTGTTTGCCTCGTGGGGCGAGTGGGATACGCAGTGTATATCTAATTATTACTCTGCTACCCCATACGATAATGACACCCCCATTACATTTCTAGAACTTTGAACTCAGCAGAAAAAACTATACCACAACTGAAAAGGAATTATTAGCTATAGTATAGGCAGTAAAACAGTTACGACAGTATTTGTTAGGAAGGAAATTCATTATTCAATCTGATCACCAAGCACTCAAGTGGTTGCACAACGTAAAAGATCCTTCATCTAGGCTCATGAGATAAAGACTTAGGCTCGAAGAGTACGATTACGAAATAGAATATTGTTGCGACGGCAATAATATTTAGAAGACGCACCTCGCCATCCATCTTGAGGATCAACGAATTGTGGTAGTGGTGCATAGATTTTTAAGCGTGTTTGGTATAAGTGTGAAGAATGTTTGAGCTCATCAACATCCACACGGTGCAGCAAACAGTATAGACAGGAGAGGAAAAAGATGAGGGAATTAGCAGACAAAAAGAAGAAAGAGATGAAAGAGGAAATCTGAGAAGAGGTAAAGAAGACGAAGACAGACAGGGATATGGAAATTCATCAACAAAGAAAGGAAAAAAATAAGGGAAACGGGATCTAACATAACGAAAGAAACGTGGTTAAACCATTTCATCGTGGAACTTGAAGGGCAAAGACAGAAAATGCCAGAGAGAAAGAGAAGAGTACGAAATAGAAGAAGAAGAACAGGAAATCACTGACGAGGAAATTGAGAAGCAATTGAGAGAGCTGAAGAAAGGGAAAGCAGCAGACATAAACGGGATCCAGGCAGAAGCATGGATCTATAGTGGAGGTAAAGTGGAGAAAAAGAAACTATTCGAGCTAATAAAGGACATCTGGAAAGGGAAAGGTTTCCCAGACGAGTGGAGGAAAGGTGTAATTCTGCCACTATACAAGAAAGGTGACCCAAACATAGCAAAAGCAACTATAGAGGGATCACTGTGCACGGCATATAAGCTGTACACACCGGTGTTAAACGAAAGAATCAAGACGGACGTAGAAGCGAAAGGGATAATAGATAACACACAGGCGGGTTTCAGAAAGCAGAGGAGCGCGATAGATGATATATACATCTTACAGCATGTAGTAGAAAGAGAGACCAAGAGGAAAGGAGGGAAGGTTTTCGTCTTCTTTGTCGACCTGAGTAGTGTCACGAGGCAAGCTGTGGGACGTAATAAGGAAAAGAGCAATAAGAAGAGGGTTAGTGGAAAGAGGGAAGGAGATTTACCAAGAAATTAAAAATGTAATAAAGATAGGTGAGGAAATAACGGCAAAATTTTTGGAGAAAGGAGTTAGACAGGGTTGCTGCCTGAGCCCCATGTTGTTTTCACTATACATCGCAGATCTGGAAGAGACGCTTCTGAGAACAGTAGGAACGGGAATGAGAGTGGGGAAAAGGAGGTTTTGTTCATTGGCCTACGCAGACGACCTGGTCTTGGTTGCAAAGACCGAAGAAGACTGCAACGTATTAACGAGGAAACTAAAAGCGTACCTGGAGGAGAAGGAATTCAGACTAAATGTGAACAAATCGAAGCTGATGATTTTTGGGAAGGGAAGAGGGAAAAGGAAGAGAATGACAATGAAATGGAAAGGAAGAGTAGTGCAAACAGTGATGGAATTCACGTATCTCGGAATAAGATTTCAAAGGAATGGGGAATGTCTGGCACACGCAAGAGAACGGGTAAAAAGAGCGGTAAAATTTTAATAATAAAGGAGGGATAGGAAAAAGGATAATGAGAGACGACTAGTAGGAGAATGTTTATGTTCAATTCTCTGGTGGCAAGTGGTCTGATGTATGGGGCAGAAATGTTTGGGTAGAAGGAGTAGGAATGTCTAGAAAATGTACAAATAAGGTACATTAACCGTTTTAGTGCCAGAGGTTTTTAAAAATCCGTGTCGAATTGTGCCATGAGGCGCGATAGCGCTTCCTTCATTTATCTGCGAATAATGCCGCCCGGCGCGCTCGCGCTTCAGATTGATAGGTATTTTTTTTTATCTTAACAATGCCATCAGTTGCATAAGAAACGTTATACTGTGCAGTCAAAAGCTTGCGAAATATTCGTGTTTGACGCTTTTTGTACGTGACAACATTTTATAATAGAGGTTTTGGTCTTCCAATTGAAGGGGTAATTTATACATTTTTTTTAATTAACACGTTCTTCGCCACGTCACATGAACATGGGTGAAGGATATACTTTCGTGGAGCAGTAGTTAAAATATAGGAAACAAATGAGTTAATTTTTTATTTATTATTCGTGTATCACTTTTAGGGCAATGAATACAAAAAAGAAAATAACGATGACACGTTCGAGATCTAATACAATTTCTGATTCTGACGATAGTAATAAGATCGTTCCAGTCTCAAGAAGGAAGAGACTAAACATTTTGGATACATCTAGTAGCGAAGATAGTATTCCGTGCAATTTTACCAGTTCTGCAACATGTGAAAGTATTTCTACGGATGGTATAGATGAAGAAGAGAATTCAGTTCGCCTTACTGAAGATATTGGGCCACAATCATCGCTAACTAACGAATCTAAACCTATCAATTATTTTAATCTGTTTATCGATTCGTCTTTGTTAACAATAATGGTTTGCGAAACAAATAAGTATGCCGAAGAACTAATAAAATCACTTGACATCACCCGCGGATCTCGAATGAAGCAATGGAAAACAGTTACATTACTCGAAATGAAGGCGTTTTTGTCAGTTTTGTTGGAAATGGGGATAACGAAGCGACCAACAATGTTTTCTTATTGGGCCGAAAATTCAAGGAGCATACCCTGGTTTTCAAAGATGTTTTCGCGGAATAGATTTCAGCTTATTCTTCGATGTTTTCACTTAGTTGATAATAAAGAATGTTTCCCACCAGGCCATGAAAAGTACGACTCATCTATAAAATTTATGCCAATAGTTGAACACGCGAATAGGGTATTCAAATTGTACTACAAACCGCATAAAGAATTATCTATCGACGAATCTTTGGTAGGAACTTTATGTCATTCAAACATGATGCAATATATGCCGAATAAAAAACACCACCGGTGGGGCATCAAATTTTGGATGTTTTGCGACGTAGTATCCAAATATTGTTTAAGTTTTTACTGTTACAAGGGGGCTAAAGAAAAATCTGATACTACTAAGTCACGAGAACACGGACTTGGATATGAAGTCGTTGTAAATTTATTGGAGCAAAATCAATATTTAAATAAGTGGTATCGCTTTGGCCAAATATTTATATTGTCAAAATACATACTTAACGGGAACAATTAGAACTAATAGAAAAGGCGTACCTAGCGATATAAAAACAATTAAGGCTAATGAAGTAAAATATGCTCGAGATGGTGAAGTACTTTTGTGTGGCTACCGCGAAAATAAGTCTGTAAAAAAACCTGTATTGTTAATTTCGACGCATGCTTCTGAAGACAATACCATTACAATCAAAAAACGAAACGGAAATGAACGAAGTAAAGTAAAACCATGCATCGTTGATTGTTATAATCGTTATATGGGGGGAGTTGACGAATCAGACAAAATGCTATACGTCTATTTGGATGAACGCCGCACTGTAAAATATTGGAAAAAAGTTACGTTTAACGTCATTGCCCGTATGGTATTAAATGCATACCTACTTTATAAGGAAGCTAGAAAAGAGAAGCTAATGACTCGATTGGAATTTACGTCGAGCATTATATCTGAAATAGAGCATGAATGGATGCAAGTCAAACAATCAGAAATGATAAGTTATAAGGAGGGAATATATTTGGCTTAGAGAAACTACCAGGCAGAAATTTAAGACAATGCGTAGTTTGCAGTAATAAATTTAATGGTATAAAACGATCGAATTTAATTTGTGTACAATGTAAAAAAGGGCTTCATTCATTATGTTTTCAAAAACATGTCTGTTTTAAAAATAATAATCATTAGAAATTTTGTTTTATATCCATTGTCATGTTTCGAAGAAACATGTTTCTTAAAAATAGAATTGTTGTTTTGAAGCATAAGATATTTATTTAAAAACATTCAGTATTTATAGTTATACTGAAACTGTGGGTTTCGAATCCTGAAACAATGTAATACATTTGGCGTTTCGGATATACGAACCCATCAGTAAAGAAACCAAGTATCAGAAATAGTCATGTGTGTGTTCACTACATGATATCCATTATAAATAAAATATTACATTATGTTTTTTTTGAATAAATAAAATATTACTGTCGTATCCACGACTTAAAAATATATCTAAAATGTTTTTATTCTTCTCATAATTTTTCATACCCCTCCTGGGGTGATTTATTTATAAATTATTGGGGCTAGAAATCCACCAATCAAATCCCTCCATTTGTTTTTTTGATTTTGGAGGGAAAAGGGTTTATGGTAATTTGGGTTACCATAATTACATAAAAGAAAATATTACAATATGTTAAAGAAAGACAGCTACTTATGCAGGTTGTTTACGATTAATTTAATGAAACTTTGTAATTACGAGAGGAAACTCTCGACAGACTCGCGACAAGATACATGCTGAATCGAGCGCGTTGCGAATTGACGATCGTGATCAAAAATAGCGACACGGTTCACCACAGTACGCGAACAGCGCGATCGCGCTGCGTGGCACTAAAACGGTTAAATGGTGCCTGAGACTACATAGGTGTACGCCAGGGTCATGATACTAGATGAAACCAAGGTAGACAAACTAAGGATAAGAACAGGGCAGAAATGCAATAGAGCGGATACGTGATTTTTATGTATTTAATTTATGAATTGAAATATATTTAGTTTGTGATACACCAAAAAGAGTTTCCTACTTCCATCTAAACAATTCCAATAGAAAAGATAGCAAATAAGGTAGGGACAAAAAGTTATGTAAGTAAGCTAGAGTACTTGAGAAGAAATGGTTATAACCAGGAAGGTTTAGAGAACCTATATGCAGAGAAAAAGGTAAATGAAGTAGGAATTAGAGAGAAGATGGCAGAGAGAGATAGGGAGGTACAAGCGCAAATGCAATATGAGAAGTGCAAGACATCAAGATACAATAGTAAGTTCAAACAAATAAGGTATGCTCTAGACCGAAGTATTTAGTTAAGAAGGGGAGTAAAGGGAGTCAAAGTACGATAGCCAGAGCGAGATGCGGGAATTTGGAAAAATCTAACAGATACTGATCAAAGGAGGAAGATAGAATATGCAAACTATGCGAGAGGGAATATGGAACACTAAAGCATTCGTTAGACGAGTGCGAGGAAATGGAGAGGATAGGATACGGCTTAGCGCAGGTGTTGAATGGCAGATATAACGAGAAAGTGGTTAAATGGTTAAGAGAGGTAGAAAGACGAAGGGAAAAAAAGAGAGAGAGAAAGCAGGTAGCATGAGTGCGAATTGTAGGCAGAGCGGAGGCAGATGTGTGTGATTCAAATTTGTAAGCCAAATCCACTTCTGGGCCAATTATATATAATAATATAAGAGTGTTACGCACCCAATCTGATGCTCAGTTCGTGATGGCAGGCACGGTGTTGGGTTGACCAAATGACTCGGCTGTCTTCCGTTCGGTGGTCCAATGCTAGGACGTTGCCACACGTTCTGAGTTGCAGGTGCCCGATTTGATCCACGGGATTGACTATCCACAAAGCTTATGTTCTGGTTAGTGCAGACTGCTTGTTGTTGACTGACTGAGGTTGAGTGATGCAGACTACTTGTTGTTGACTGAATCCTTGATGCGTATTGATGTACTCTGAAGAACTGAACTATCTGATAGTTATTGATGAACTGTTGATGGGTACTGTCGAACTGACTGTTCCATTGATATTAACTAACTGTTCTGATGTGTACTGACCAACTGCCTCTTGGATTGATAGTGACTAACTAACTGTGCGATGGATACTGACCAACAACTGGTTGTTGGATTGATGCTGACTAACTGCTTGTGCGATGCACGATCTTTCGAAGCCCAGGATTACCCAAAGGGAAATCGATTTTCCCATCGGTGTTTGAGGGTGGACCCTCGGTCCGCGAATCAGGTGCCCTCAAAGAAGGGAGGAACGTCTTCCGCGACCAGGTCTACTGGTGGATGAAACCTCTCCCTCAAAGGGGATTGCTGCTAGAAAATAACCATAGAATCCTTACAACCAAAGAAACAATTTACAGCATCCTGACTTACGCCGGATGGATATCACTCATACTTGTCACACTTTACACACTCTACAAAATAGGATTCTTCTCATTCTTACAAAAATGTATATCAGAACAATTTTGTATAAAGATATGTTGTAACGAAAATAATGTAACTCATACAAACACCACAATACCGTCCGAAACACAGATAGTCTACACAGTCCAACGCTAACAAGAAGAATGCAATTTCAAGAAATGGGCAATGAAGACGAGGACGAAGGAGACACTCCATATCAATTCAATAACAACACCAAAATAATCCGCTTTTCGGGAGGAAAGAAGGTTCTAAGAAGGGGAGTGTAACATTGGCCAATCTCAGCAGACCTGCATATTAAGACATAACATCAGACTTTCTGAACAACCTGCAAATTAAGACTTCCAGGGATCATCAAAAGAACAAAGCCTTAACCCATGATTCATATCCCCACTACCAGCCAACGCCCACCGAAACTAATGTATAAATATGCCATAGTTAAAAAAATGAAGTCAGTCTTAATCTTGCCATAAATTACGTGTTCATCACTATTTGTCATCTCCATTATAATTAGCTATTTGGAGTTAGAATACGTTCGACTGTCAAGTAACAAATCCCGATATCTTATAATTTTCGAATAACCAACGAGGATTCTTAATAAACGACGTTTATTTCTTTTTTTTCTTTGTCCGGTATCTTTCCCCGTGATGAGGTAATCTATGGAAATAATTTTTTGTGTGTTATTTAACGGGAACGGTAATGACGAATAGAAAAGGAATACCTTTCTCGACGAAATCACCGAAATTAAGGATTGGGGAAACAATTGCTTATCGCAAACAAGAAATATTGTTGCTTGCATGGCGCGATAAACGTGTCGTGTCTATGCTATCAACCTATGGTACGTCAGGATCCCAAATTGTTAGAAATAGAAGAGTTGGGGATAATAGAATGCAGCCAGTTTTGAAGCCCAGTACAATAATACAATATAATAAAAACATGGGCGGCATCGATTTAGCCAATATATTGCAACCTATTGCTTCCTTCGCAAAACCCTGAAATGGTGGAGGAAACTGTTTTTCTGGGATTTGGAAGCATCTATTATCAATGCTTATATTTTATACAAAGCATCTCCTTCTAATACCAATAAAAACATTTCTCACAAACAATTTAGAGAAAAACTGTTGCTTGATCTTGTGGGAGACTTTCATATAACAGCAAAACGTGGACTACCATCATCCAGCGACAAGGAACAGCGACTAGATGGAAATTTACATATAATTACACTGCATCCCCAGCATAAACATAAGGATTGTGCAGTTTTTTCTAACCGAAAAGTTCCAGGTGGTAGAAAAGAAACTTCGTATATATGCGAAACCTGCGACAGAAAACCGGGATTACATGTCGGAGAATAATGTTTAAAAATTTTACAATTTTATTTTATATATCTACTAATTTATAAGTACGTTACGTTAGTAAGGTCATAAATTTTTTCCAAAGTAAACGCTACCAAGCGAATAAGCGACTGGTGAAATCTGTGCGGACCGGCTGGTACGCACTTGCGAATTCAGCGCGGACCTGCTGGAACGAAATGGTGAAGAGCTCTCGGTCTGCAAAGGGTTAATAAACGTATGTTGGAAAAAAAAAAAAAAATGCAGGGCCTGCTAAGCAAGCCTTACTGATGAGTCCGCTAGCAGGCCCGGGACGAAACGCATCCCTTCCTTTTCCTAACGTCCCTTCTAACTACGTCAACCACGGAGGATACCTGCGACCAGCTGACTTCAAACGACCGTGGGGGAGGATCCCCACACTTCCATGTTGAAGCGTTGCATCAGATTTGTTATGCCCTTTGGTTTAGAAAAATTTGTTTATTTATTCTGTCTCTGGTGATTTCCATCCCTACATAGTAATTTGGATTTCCTATGCAAATTTCAAATTCATTGGATAGATGGTGCAGAATTGAATTTATAGTTTTCTTATTAGAAGACAACAAAAGTTCATCATCCATATATAATAATAAATACACCCTGTCATTCGCAGATTCACACACATACAGACATGGATCAGCTTCACTTCGTTTGAAATTAAACGTTTTTAAGAAAAGAAATTAATAAATTTCTCGTTCCATACCCGTGGAGCTTGTTTTAAACCATACAAACTTTTGTTTAGTCTACAAACCAATGATTTATCCTTGACATTTAGACCTTTAGGTAACTCCACATACAATTTTTCGCTTAGTTCTCCATAGGAGAACGCCGTTTTCACATCAAATTGTGCCATGTCTAAGTCATCAACAGCAGCAATTGATAGCATGGTGCGAATAGTGTCGTATCTGGCTACTGGTGAAAACGTTTCTTTGTAATCTATTCCCTCAACTTGGGAATATCCTTTTGCTACCAGTCTAGCTTTGTATCTGGATGCTTTTCCTGGAACAAAAAAATTTAATCTTAAATTTGAAAATCTATTTATTGCCTATTAGTCTTACCTTTGCCGGTGGTTGAACTAAATCCCAAGTTCTGTTTTTATTTAAAGATTCAAGTTTCTCATTTATGGCCTGTTTGCAGTTATCTGCTTCATTTGATTGTAGTGCTTCCTCATATGTACTGGGTTCTCCTTGGTACTCTACATAAGCT